ATAGTAGACAATAGACTTCTTGTTCCAATGTTCAAGCTGGTTTTAGGAAAGGCTACTCTACAACTGAAAATATATTTATCCTTCATGCTTTAATATCTATATACGTTTCAAATGGTAATTTTGGGGTTTGAAAATACCAATATGATTGAGAAATTACGTGTACAGTTTTGTTAAAGAATTTTAAACATACGTAGCTCCACAGCAAATATAATGGTCTATGGTGAAACGGGTAGGTACTCGTTGGATATTGAAATTAAATCTAGAATGATAATGTTTTGGTATAAACTAATTACAGGTGAAAATAAATTGTCTAGTATAATGTACAAGCTTATGCTGAATTTACATAAAAATGATTTCGCTGATTTTAAATGGATTTCATATATCAAGAATCTATTCAATTGCACGGGACTAAGTTTATGTTTAAAATTAGATATTGTACACGGAATTAGATAAAGTCCGTGGTTATGCATTCATATAACTTGATGTTTTTAAAGACTTAAATTTGTTTAAATAAATTTGACGAGTATTTAGTAAGAGTAGATTTACTTTTCACGACCATGTATCTTTAGTATATATTGGAACAAATCTATATTTATACATATTATATCGATAGTTGTTATAAATAAAAAAAAATCCGTAGAATGTTCATGTACGTCAGTCAATACGTTTATAACGTTCATTGCATAATAAAATTATTTAAACATTTGTTCTAATTTAGTTGACTACAAGTAATTTTGGGGGAAATCCTCTATTTGCCAATTCTATTCAAAATTTATCTCCGTTTTCGTCGTCATTGCATATCCAATATATATATATATATATATATATAGAATAAAAACAAATTTTTCAGATCTATTTGTTAGGTAGGGGAGTATTTGACAAGTATTTAGTAAGAGTAGATTTACTTTTCACGACCATGTATCTTTAGTATTAGATACATTAAAATACATCACCTGTAAACAAATAGATCAAATTAATGATGTCTTTAAAAAAACAATAACAATGGTGATTTTTTATATATATATATATATATAGTTAAGTCAAGTCAAGTCAATTTTGTTTATTATAGTGTCATATATCACAATTACATCGTACAAGTATATAGTTACACAGTATAAACACATATAGTTACATAATTTATAATATCATAATTTTGTTAAGAACAGCTATTATACATAATACATTAATAAATTAAAACAAACTATCACATGTGCCAATCCAGAGAGCAGGTGATTGGGACAGCCCCTACCTAACAAACTCCTGGATTTTGTCCTTACATATTACATACTATAATAGTTAAAAGGTTTCTTTTATATTTACTGCCTTAAAACATGATGTCTTTAAAAAAACAATAACAATGGTGATAAATAAAATGAATAATTTCCTAGTTCTACATTGTAGTGAAATTTAGATTTCCAAGGGTTGGGGAGCCCCCTTCCAGCGAGGTCTGCTAAATTCACACTAACTAGTAGCTAATTATATTTAAACGGAAGATTATTTTCATAAAAAAATGTTTCTGATTGACACCTGGTATCATATTTAACAAATGCATTAAATAGAAAATGTAATTGTATATGATGTTCAGCCTAAAATGGCTTACAAGACACTGTTTAAAATTATAACTAATCACATAGACTGCTACGTCTTCTGTACATATTATATAAGTGGTTTGCAAGTGGAATTTGTAATTCCTCGGAAGACATTATAAAATTAAATTATAATATATATATTTACCTGTAACTGTGATTTAGATCACGGACTTAGATGTTAAATAAAATTGCAACATCACGGTATCTACCATGTATCTATAGAGATCACATTTACTTGAGATGGCCAACGAGTTGAATAAAGTATATGTGTATACAGTATCTCTTGGAGTCGAATCAAGTTTTCATGTCATTTAGTATTTTGCTTTCGGATGATCAAAGACGTATATATTACGTAATGTAATATATACGTCTCTGGATTGATGTATAAGAAGCGTAACGTAATTCCTTTTATTAATCTATTTAATTTTTACATTACTTAATGACAACCTACTCGTCTACCCTTCATAAGATTGGTCAGGGAACTATATATGGAAAAAATATCTAGCTTGTCCAAAACAGACTATCTGTGAGTTAATCAAGTAATTGAAAGGACTTCGAATCATATACAATCCATATACTTTTTGAATTTCGTAGTATTTGAGTATCTAATTTAACTGAAGGTTCTTCTCCAGCATTGTTATATAATTGATACTGTTATGTTTAACAAAATTGAATAACTAACATTTATGAAAAGTAATTTAAAATTTTCTAAATATTTCCTGCTAAATTTATATATATGATCTTAATAACACCATTTTATGACATGAATAGAATTAATATAGTATCATGTAATTGCAATTCTTTTATCAAATATATCTTATACCCGATAATGATACTTAAATGTATCTAATTAAATATATATATTCATCAATGTATATATAATAATTAATAGTTTTCTGCCCGATCCTGCCCGTTCCTGTAAATCGTCGAACCCCTAGTCACGGCATTTCGGTGATGTTTTCTGCACCAAATCGCATATGTCCAGATAGGATGTGACATATAGAAGTAAATAACTTCAAGAAATGCGATATTTCACAGTAATAAAGAAGTATTGGGTTCATAACTGGATCGTATGGGGTAGTATTGGGTGGTATGGGGTAGTATTGGGTCATAGTCACGGCAATTCGGTGATGTTTTCGGCACCAAATCGCATATTTCCCGATAAAATATGGCAGATGGAAGTAAATAACGTCTACAAAGGTGATATTTCACAGTAATAAAGAAGTATTTGGTTCATAACTGGGTCGTATGGGGTAGTATTGGGTAGTATTGGGTGGTATTGGGTAGTATTGGGTAATTAGACGCGCCGGTTTTCGACGGTGTAAGAGCAAAATCGCTTTTTACCTACCATGTCAAATAAATTTACTCCAAGCCTTACCAGTTAAGTCATTTACTATTATGGCCCTAATTCTAATATCACTCAGGCATGGCCTGGAGAGAGCGAAGCTCGTACATTTGTTTCGATAATATAGTATAATTTTTGAATCATAACATTACCCATTTTAATACATACAAAATGTAGGCCTACCTGTATTTTTTAATTTCTTAATATACTTGAATCTGTTGCTGGGCAAAATCATCCATTTTGAAAACAGGCATTGCCTGAAACGAGTGAAGCGTCTAAATGCTGTTTTTTTAATCTTATTTTCTAAATAACATTATTTAAAATAATATCTATTTATTTGTTTTATAGCGATAAAGTAATTAATGTAAAATTAATAATAAGTAAAGAAAATCATTCGAATGAATTATGCAGTCCAAGAGAAAACACAAATGTATTTGGTACTGTTGCATTTAATTGCCCCGTCTATGGCCTCAGCGTAATGTTGCAGAAAGAGTGAGGCCCAGTAGAGGGACTTCATATTTGAAGATGTATTGTTTATCAAATATAACTGTTATTATCTGTTATTATAAAAGTTAAGTATATTGTTGATAAAATTCAAATTTTATTTTCCGACATGATATACTTTGCCTGATCCCTCTAAATCGTGTAAAAAGAGAATCACAATAGCCCAAGCATATCCGGATTTCCATCTGGTTTGGTAGTTACTATATACTTCCGGTTTGGATGGAGAGAAGAAAAGACTGAAAATTTGAAAGAAGCTTCAGTTTCTATAATTTTTAATGTCATGAATTTACATAACCACAGAAAAAAATTATCAAATAAAGAGATATTTTTGAGAATGTATAGCAAAGCTAAACAGCATCGTAAAAATAGGGCCGCGGTAACTCTAGCTCTATGCTAGCTACTTCCATGACGAAGGATTTTGGAAGCATAGTATTTCGACGTTACCATGACTTCAATTGTTCTTACATGTTACCGGAAAATAGCTTCGC